AAAACTGTCATTGTAAAAGAACATGCTCATAAAGTTCAGGTAAGGTCAATTTGATGAAATTTATTGATTTAGTTAACTAGGACTTCTCTTTTTTTTTTTTTGGATAAAGGTGACATCAATTAAATAGAAAAGAAAGGTTTAAAGTACAACGAATAGGGAAGCAAAGAACAAAGAAAGAAACAGAGAAACAGGGCAAGAGCACAAACATATCAGAACAGCTGCAAAAAACACCGCACAACGCAACACCGAAAAGAAAAACCAAACAGTGGCTACCAGAACTGCTCAAAAATAACGGACCCTTATATGGGAACAAGAGGAAGAAACAAGCCAAGATAAATGAAACCACAGCACAAGCTCGTCCACTATTCTTGATCAAAAGCTTTGATTCCTGTTGTAATGCCCTGAGCAGGCAACATCTGCGATTTCAAGTTTCGGAACTAGCTTTCAGCGACTTATTGATAAACTTTATTGGCGCTAACAAGCCACTCCGTAATATGGTTACCAATCCTGAAGTAAACAACCTAAACAAGGGCGTGTGAATCCTCGAAGATCCTTAAGTTTCTCTCCCTCCAAAGACCCCAGCAGACTGCATGTAATAAGACTCTTGCACACCATCGTGCCAGACTTTGTGGTTTCTGAGATGGCCAGCTGCAATTATACACATCAGGGAAGCTTGTAGGGATTGCTCAATTTTCACAAACTTTCCGATAATGCTCCAGACTTGTCTGGCGAAATTGCACTTAAGAAATAAGTGCTCAACATCCTCTTCGTCCGCTTTGCGGAGCTCACATCTACTAAGGAACTTCCACCCCTTCTTCTTTAGAACATCTTGAGTAAGAATCTTTATTTGGAAAGTCACCCACAAGAAGAAACGCACCTTCAGCGGGATCACATGCTGCAAAATCACCTTTGAAGGGAATCCCTGAGATTCGGGTGTTCTCTCGAGGAATCTTCTTTCATACAAGGAGCGAACCATGAAACCTGCACTTGGCTGCGGCAGCCACACAATTCTTGATGGACCTGCAGATAACAAAGAAGGAGACAAGCTATCAAGCAGTTACAACAATCTCACCCTTTCCCTCTCTGCCCCTCCCCTTACTGAAAATTTTAAATCAATTTCCCAGGTTACGCTCTCGGATTCTACTATCATGTTGTCAGAGACACGGCTGCTATGCAAGACAGCGACAACAGTAACTCTAGGGAAGGCATTGGCGAGTGTCACTTCTTCAATCCACCTGTCATACAAACAGGAGTTCAAAGAGAACCCCGATTCAATTCAAGCATAACCTTATAACACTCATCTTAGTTTGGTAATTTCTATCCAAGGATTCCATCCGGTGCTTCTTCTAATCTCCCTGGGTGTCCATTCCGACAGCGGGTTTGGGAACTTGATCTCAATCAGTTTACGCCACCAATCCTCCTTGTCAACTACGTACTTCCACAACTATTTCACAATAGAGAAATGTTCCTTTGTTCAAAGTCAAGAACTCAGAGACCCCCCAAGCTCCTTTGGAGCTTTACACTTGTTCCAAGCCACTAAGTGAATTTTCTGCCTATCATGTGTACCCGACCAGATGAAATCACGCTACAACTTGTCGATAATCTCAATCACTTCCCTAGGCACTTTGAAAAGAGCATCAAAGTATATGGGTTGACTTGCCAGACAAGTGTTACACAACACAATCCTGCCGCCCATAGACAGGTACTGGCCTTTCCACCCTTTTTTCGGTAAGTGCCTTTCCACCCTTCTAAAGTTTTTCGCATTTTCGAAATAATCGGGTTCCACATATTGCTCGAGAAAGGAGCATCACCTAAGGGAAGCCCGATATAGACACTAGGTAAGAACCCCCAATCACATCCAACAATTTCGGAAAGTCTTTCAATGTCCTCCACATCACCTACTGGGAATAAACGACTTTTATCGAGATTAATCTTCAGACCTATTATTGTATGGAAACAAATCAAAGAGGCTGAGATGTTCAAGAGCTCCTCTTCTGTCGCATCACAAAAAATAATTGCATCATCCGCGTAAAGAAGATGCGTAACTTCCCCCTTCCATTAGTCTCATTCGCGCAAAAACCACTACTGTAACCGGCTGCACAAACTTTGTCCAAGATATGTGTCAGAAGATCCATGATAATGATAAAGATAAAGGGAGAGAGTGGTTCTCCTTGTTTAAAAACTTTCTTCATACAGAAGAAACCAGTAGCCTCACCATTGACAAGAATTGAGAGGTGAGAAGAATTCATTGTTCCCATGAGCCATTTCTGCAGTCTTCTATGAATCCCAACAGCCTTCAAAGCTTTCTCCAAACACTCCCAACTTGCGCTGTCAAAAGCTCTTTCAATGTCGAGTTTTAGAACAACACCGGCCTTCCCACTTCTTCTGCTTTTGATTGATTCATTTGCGATGAAGCTCGCATGATGAATCTGTCTACCTCGAACCCCTACAAATTTATTACAAGAGATGAACCTGACCATGAGAGGCCTTAATCTGTTGACGAGCATTTTTTAGATAAGCATGTTGAGACTACCAACAAGGCTGATCGGCCGAAAAATCATTGACTCCTTCAGTTACTTCTTTTTCGGAATTAAGCAGATGAAAGAGTGCCCTATGCTTTTCGACAAGGTACCCGTGAAGTAATACTCATCCAGAACCTTTAGAAGGTTGCGTTTGATCACGTTCCAGCCACTTTTGAAGAAGGCGAGAGTAAAACCATCCGGTCCGGGCGCTTTATCGCCATTGCAGTCTTTGGTGACCTTCCATATTTCGGCTTCTGTGAAGGGTTTTGTAAGGTCAAAGTTATTATCAACATCTTTGATGGGAATTCTTTTTTTGTGTATTGCAATTGATGAATTTCTATGTAAAGTTGACACAATGGAGTCGAGCATTTCTTATCGGTGCATATTTCATCATTAAAATTCAAGGGAGCTTATTTGGGTTTTTTCAAGTGATAGGGGGTGAGGCATGGGTCCATTATGCCCTACCTTTGTTCAATTTCCATGGATATTCTTACAACTATCTTAGATAGGACATCAAGGATGAAATACCTCTCTTATCATCCTCAACATCGATGTATAGGGCTCACACACTTATACTTTGCTAATAAACTATTGATCTTCTCTAAGGCAGCGATTTATGTTTTATAATGTGTAAGGAGAGCTTTGGATCAGTTTTATGATTTTTGAGCTCTTTAATGTATTTCAAAAAAGTGCGAGGTGCTTTTTGGAGGGTACCTCAATTTACTAAAGAGATGGCTTTGAGAAATATTTGCTAAAAGGGTTGTAGATATGGGACTTAAAGGTGACGAGGCTGGTTTTTGGTTGTGGAGAAAACTTCTAAGGCTTAGAACTTGGTTTCGTTTAAGAATGGAGAGAGATGGATTAGGTCGGTTTTTATAGGAAAGAAAAGTCCAGAAGAGTTTTGTAGTTAAAATTGGTATGTGAAGCAATATGGGTTCGTCAACCACTAGTAAGATGGTATAGGTAATTTTGGGGAAGGAAAAAGTTACACTCCACCAGTTCTTGGCATGACAGGTTATTCTCAATAGATTTACAACATTGACGAATCACTGTGAATGGGGAAGTGTTCAGGTGATTGGTGTGTTGCTTTGTGATATGCATATGGAGAGTGATACATGAAACCATCTTTATTTTGTTGTTCCTTGTCTAGCAAAATTTAGCTACGGTGTTTAAGGGCTCAAGATAGTATGAGTAACCATTGTTTACTAACCCTTAGTATCTAAATCTTGACTTTTAGATTTAAGTGGACTCAGAAAATTCAGATATGAGAGTTGTGAATTAAAGTCATTTTATTTTCCCCAGTTTTCTTAATCGACTCTTATATTCTTGGTTCTAACTTGGATTTCAAAAAAAAATTGCACAGATGGAACAAGTTCGTTGCGCTCTACAAAATGAGATCAATTTTCAATATTTTTTTAGAAATTTTTTCGTACCTCTCGTACCAACTCCATACCATATGGTATCTTCTTCGTTTTTTAAAATATTTGCACAAAAGGAACGAGTTCATCAAGATCTATTGGATCTACAAATTTATGAGTGAAAAAAATAAAGGACCAAAAAATACCATACTCTACCACCCTGATGTGAGGGTGGTTACTTGTGGTACACAATGATGAAAGTCATATATGAGCGTTAATATACTTTTATTATCATGTATTCAACCATCCTACAGTCTTGGTATTTTCATACCACCATGGTACGCTTTCATAACATATGGTATGCTCTTATTTAATACCAGTCAATACCATATGGTACGTAAAAAACGACTTGATTTTTTTTGTTCTAAAAAAATATCAAAGTGGATATCATTTTGAAGAAAATAATTAATCTGATCTATATGTACAAAAAAAATTAATTGACTTAAAACGAGAAAGCAATCATCCGTTAAAGATTAAAGGATAAAAGATTAAAAGCTTTCCATATGAGAGAGAATGTTGATGTCATTCTGATGTAGACGGGTTACTCACCATTACCTACCTTAAGGTAGTGGATCCAGACCCGTGTTCAAGGGTCTGATGCATGTTTGCCCTTCTACATGGTATGGAATGCTATCGGTTATCTGTCAGATGCAAAGAACGCGTGGTGGCACTCTCGGATGGGTATTTTTTGTGTTGTGGTGTTAAGTCGTAGGTTTTTGTGTGGAAAGAGCGCTGCATTAGGGTGTTCGAGTGAGCTAAAAAAAAATTGGCATCTACTGGTAACTTAGCTGAAGGAAGAGGTTCAATTAAAGGCGGCAAATATATTGGATCTATAGATTGGTGGATTGGATTGATGTATCCATGGATTAAGTGGATTGGATCAAATGGATTCATGGATTGATGGATTGATCCATGAATTCAAATGACATCCAAGTCTTGAACCAATATGTAAATTTTGAAAAGTTTAAGTACTAAAATTTCATAATAAAAAAATTTAGGCACCAAAACATAATTTTCCAATCATATTTTTTGTATAAAAATAAATTTTAGGTACCAAAATGTAAAATATAAAAAGTATAGATACTAAACCGTAATTTGTCATTTGGATCAATGAATCAATCCATGAATCCACCAATCCAATTGGATTTGGATCAAATGGATTGATATAAATGGAGACCCGATTCCATCTTCGCCCACTTCCTCTCGCTCTCCAGGTCGTCGCCAAACTCATTGCAGCATTACCTGTCGATCGTTGTCGTACCTGCACTACCAGATCGACACCACCATGCGACATACCTCATCATCATCATCGTCGTCGTAGTCATCAGTTAGCCGCCACGGTCGTCTCCACCTCCAGCGTCATGAGTCATCGTCGTCGTGGCCACAAGCATCAGAGGCACCTTCTGCAGTCTAGAGAAGAGGAAGAGGAAAAAGAAAGACGGAGTAAGTAGAAGTGCTCTCTCTCTCCCTCTCTCCGGCCTCCGCCGCCCACAACCGCAAATCGTCTGGGATCAAATGTAATAGAAGAAAAGGAAGAATTCATCACCGGTGGTTTGGAAGATTCCACAAGATCGAGAAACCTAATATCCGGTAATACTGACCCGGATGGTCTATTGACCACCTCTACTTCACATCTCTTCTGGGCTCCGGCTTCAACTGATGCCTTCCTTTCAACCCTCGGTCCATCTCTGCTGCTTCACAGCTGCTCGCCGCAGAGCGATTCTCTCTAACTCTTTCTTTTTTGCACAATTTTGGTTGCTAGTTTTTCTTTGTTCGGTTCCTTATTGTTTCCGTTTTCAGTTCTCTGTATTAGTGATTGCATGCTTAGCTCTAAACTATTGTTCTGCATGTTCTTTGGCTGGTGATTCCCCTCTTCTCTCCTCTAATTTTCTTAATTAATTGTTTATCGTATCCTGCTAAGTTCTTCTTATTTTATTTTGGTATGTTGTTGGTCTTCTTGTTCTGTTATTCTTTGTTTGGCCCCTTTTTGAGGTGGTCATTCTTAATTTCTATTTGTTATTCTATTGTGTGCTCTTTGCTTGGAGGTATTCTTATTATCGATTCCTCTCCAGGTTATCTGCATTTCCCCCTTTGTTTGTTTACTGTTATGCCTAGTTAGGTCCCTTCTAGTTTTGTGTCGTGTTTTGTTTCTTGTGTAAGGTTTGATGTGATATCTCCCGCCCCTTGCCGGTGACCTTCCCCCGGTCCCCCGCCGGGATAATTTTTGTCAGATCCCCTCGCCGGAATTATTCCATGGCCTTCTGGCCGTTCTTTCTTTCCTTGGCCTTCTGGCCATTCTTTGTATCCTGGGGATTTTTCCCAGCAGCTACGAGAGAGAGAGAGAGAGAGAGAGAGAGAGAGAATTTTCCCTCCAAAGGTCCTATACGAGAGAGAGAGAGAGAGAGAGAGAGAGAGAGAGAGAGAATTTTCCCTCCAAAGCTCCTGTACGAGAGAGAGAGAGAGAGAGAATTTTTACCGACGGAGGAAATTTTCCCGACGACTGGAGGAGATTTTTCCGGCGACCAGAGACGACGCAGAAGGATTTTCCGGCGACACTGCTAGATTTGTGATGTTTGTTGATCTATTTTGTAATGTTTGTATCGATTATGTTTGTATTGTTTATCATTCTTGTTTGTCATTTTAGTGACATTTTTGTACGGTTAGTATGCTTTGTACTATATGTCGGTTTATTTTGTAAACTTTGTTATTTTGTAATGTTTGTGGGTTTCTTTTCTAATGTTTGTAAGCTTTGTTATTTTTGTGCACCATGTTTATCATTTTTGTCAACCATGTTTGTAATGTTTTTTATGTCTAAAAAACAACCTTGTTGACTTTTGGATGGAACTCCTCTATATAGGGATAAAGCCTCCAAAGTCAACCCATGTGTTTTTCCAGTTTGTATGAATTTTTGGTCTAGTTTGTCATTTTTGTCCATCATGTTTGTAATGTTTGTATGTCTGAAAAACACCCAGGTTGACTTTGGGAAGGAGCCCCTCTATATAGGGATGGAGCATCCAAAGTCAACCTGGTTGTTTTTCTTTTTGTATGGTTTGTATTGTTTGTCGGTCTAGTTTGTATTTTTTGTACAGTTCATATGTTTTTAATGTTTGTAAATATGTTTTTAAGGTTTGTAAATATGTTTGTATGTTTTGTCGCTCTAGTTTGTACTGTTCGTATGTTTGTATGGTTTGTACTGATTGTAAGTCCGGTTTGTATACTTCGTAATTTTCCATAATATCCAAACTACCCTGTCAAGTGACTAAGACCCCCCAGGTCACCGGATCATCTCTCGAGACTAGTGGCAACCCCATTTGGAGTCATGTTTCTCCAACTGCTACGTTGGCTTTCTTGGGCTTTTCCTAGCCCGTTGGTTAGATTGGTTCGGGCCTTGCTTTTTTGTTTGTTTTTGCAGGCTTAAGCAGTCATTGGAAGTGAAGATGCAATTTCCCACCGAAGATGCAATCAGGGAAATTTTATGGGTTTGATGCATTGGCCCGTCTGTTTTTTGTTTTGTAGGGGCGCCTGGGCAGAGCGGAACTTCCTCTCTGGTTTTCATTGTGTTATTTGGTTCTTATCTTTACCTATTAGTGGCGGGTTTGTTTGACTTTGGCTCCTCAGGTGGCCTGCTGAGTTCGGCTTGCTTGCAACTCCAAATCTAACTCCAACGCGTGGGGTGTCCTAAATCCGTATTCTTAGTGATTTAGTTTCTATTGTGTATTTGCTCCGAGCATATTTTGTTGTTAGATTTGCCGGGTTTGATGCATTGCGGTTATCTAATAGCCACAGTGGCTTGGTCCTTGACTTTCGTCCTACAAAGGGTGGATATTAAGTTAACGACTTAACCTTTGCCGAATAGGTATTAAAGAGTTGCACATATCATGTGCTCTCTTATCGGTGGTCTTTGGTTGGCCGGCTAGCGTCCCTTCTTTTACGTTTCAACCTGAAAAGGCTTAAATTTTGTACACTATATCTACTATTTCCCTTTTTGAGAATATTTATGAAAAAATGGATTGATATAAATGGATTGGATTGGTTGGATATTTTAATGAATTGAAAACCTAAGATTTTGGGGAATTCGCTTTGCTGGTGAATTATGTTATTTCTCCCTTTCAAGGGGAAGGAGTGGTATTGATGGATTGGATTAGAAATTGCCACATTTAGTGTCAATGCTTTGTAATGGCCATGTAGCTTTTAATTTTGGTATTCGAAGCTTGAATATGCAGTTATGCATCTTTACCTATGTATTTAATAGCACTTAGAGTAGTACGATTTCTCTTTGTTACGTCGTTTACTAGACGCGGCGACTGTGGAACAACTTTGGATCCAATACTTTTATATGAAGACAACTGATAATCATACATATTTTGTAAAGCATTATGATTTGTTTGGAGATACAAAGTCTAATTCGAGGATTTGAGACTTAATCTCTTTCGGTAAAATAGAGACCCTAACTAATCTATATAGAAAGGAATTGTAACATGAACCCATTACAAAAACCTCTCAAAGATCTTCCATGTTCTTGCTGAGGGTTGTAAACATGAACTCATTGCCTTTTCTTTTCTTTTAGAATCCTCATATAGGCCTTTAATTGAGATCTTCTCTTGCTTCTTTAGTGTCATTCCCATTGCTATTTGGATATTTCCATATTAAGTTATTCCTTTGGCTGGTCCAATCTTCCTTAAACATTGCTTGTTGTGCTTCTGTTGGTTTTCTTTTGCTAGAGGTGAGCAGAACAATTTTGAAGATGAAGACAAAACCCTCTTTATGGGCTGATAACGGAGACTCGTCTCCTTGGGCTTTCCGAGAAATATCTAGCCTCAACAACGAGGTATTATTGTAAAAGCAATCGGTAATTAGCAATTCTCATTAAGTACTCTCTTGGAAAAATAAGCACAAGGGTCAAAAATACCAAGGTAGGAAGCCCATTGTTCTCAAATATAAATGAAAAAACTACAAGTAGAGAAATCTACACTCGGTCAAGAACATGACAACATCTAGGAGTCTGCTGAAGATGTCTGTAGAATTCTTCATTGTTGCATCCAAATAATCTCCCCTCTTCTCTCAATATATCTACCAGAAGTCCTGGAAATCAAGCTCTGTCCCCAAAAAATTGTTTGCACCTTTCTTCCCATATAAAATCGATGCACCAGCACCACAAGGAGCACTCAACCAGTCCAATACTACTACCATTCTAGGCTCTTTCAGAGATAAATCTCAACAGATCCTCCCAAGAATCAGAAAATGAAACTTTAACTCTCCACACTGCATACACAAAATCTTTAGTGTAAACGCAATTAAAGTATATGATATTTGGATTCCCTTGCATCACTACATAAAAGACATATATCATCCTTGATTACACCCCCGACTTTTAAGCTTGTCTCTAGTTGATATTCTTTCTAAAATGATCAACCATGACTAAAACCTATTTTTTTTTATAGTCTAAAATTTTCCTAGAGAACCTTCCACCAGCCAACCTCAGGTTTCTTACTTCTTGTTGAGTCTCAGACTATTGAAATAGAAAACCTGCTCATCTTCTTTCCCTGCCATCTAACAATGTTCTACATATCTACATCCATTATGTATCTATACCCAGGTCTAAGCTTCAGTAGTTGTTTCCATATCCAAGATCCTGAGGAAATGATCATGAAATCCCAAAAAGTGATGCCCCTTAGCCTGTATTGATATATCCATGCCACTCGGAAACTGACCCCTTGCAACAGCAATAACCAGAGTAAACAGGCAACACATGCTAAATACGAGGTCAATAGGTCCTTCAATCCATGTCTTCCTTCTCATTTTGGTTAAGCTAGAGCCTCCCATGACAGCTTTGCTCTCCCATACCCATCTCCAAACCATAAAACATTGGAGCAAATCTTCTTAATAACCTTTATCACCTTCTTAAAAACTACAAATATGGCCATCTAGTAATGTATAAGTGGATAAAGTACAAAATCCACAAATTGAAGTTTCCCAGCATATGACAATGTATTAGACAACTTACCTGAAATCAATGGGTGACCCAAATAACGAGCAGGTAAATGCTATTCTTTGAAATCAAAACATGCAAAGCATTATGTTTGAACTCATTTGACACCCTCCAAAGAAAACTTCACACTTGTATGGATTACATTTCAGTCCTGATAGCTTATAAAAATTATCCAAAACTATCATTACCCCACTTAAAGAAAAAGTTGATCCTTTTGTAGAGATAAGAAGATCATCTACGAAACATAAGTGAGTAAGCCATATTTTCTTACATTGGCGATGAAAAGGAATCTGCCTATTCAAAGCATCTTGACTTTAGCATACAAATAGAGGTTTCATGGCTATGGTGAATTGGTAGGGGAATAAAGGATCCCCTTGCCCAACACCCTTGTCAGTCTTAAAATAACTAAACAAGCTACCATGAATAGTTATGCTTAAGTGAGCCGAGTTCAAACATAGAGTGATCCAATCCAAGAAATTCGTAGGTAATCACATTCTCTTCATCATACATGACAAATAACTCCTAGAGGCAATATCCTTTATAATTCTAAATGATTTCTTGAGCCATTAGAATATTCTCTAGAATACTTCTACCTTGAATGACTGCATATTGATTCCTACTAATGTCTGTAGGCGGAACCATTTTCATTTTATCGGCTAATATTTTCTTAGATGATCTTGTAAATCACATTAATACAAGCTATAGGGGTTGATATGCGGACAAGTGGTAAACATTTGGAATTTTCGGGGCCCTTGTTAATGATGCAGAGTTCATACCTTTAGGAAACTGTTTATGGATGATTAATTGTTTAGCCCCAACAATAATGTCTTGCCCTATCACTTCCCACCATCTTTGATAAACTCATACAGTCCAACCATCATCCCCAGGGGCCTTGGAAGCATCCACGTCAAACAAAGCAGTCTT